GGCACTGGAGGATTTCACCTCCATCACACAGATCACAGATTAAATCCTTGGGAGGTTTTTGCAGGAAGACCATGATGTAGATGCCCAGGGAGGGCACAGGCAGTGACAATGGGGGTGTGAGTCCATGACATGCTCTGCCCACCATCCCTTCCCTTTCCAGTATCCAGACCCTTGAACATATGATCTTGCCAGAAGGGACCTTTTTAAGTGTCCCTGCCACAGTTTCCCCTATTCTTCAGCCTGGCTCTACTCATATCACCTTCTCTGTGAAAGACATTTACCTTCCAAGAACTTGTCATTGATATTTATGAGGCCTCCAGAATCTTTCAGGGCTGCAACAAGACATTCCATGGGCTATGCAATTGAGCAAAGGCTTTGTCTGTCAGCATTCCCAACTTCTCCGTTCTGCTTTATCCCTTACCTTCTAGCTGAGAGGTGATCAAAGGGTGGACTCAATGATCTTGGAGGTCTTTTCCAATCTAGATGATTCTGTGATTCTCCCTCTCTGGAATTCTGTTCCTCTCTCACCTTGCCTCATTCCTCCCTCCTTTCCTCCCTCTCTCCCTCTTTTTTTCCCTCCCAGCTCCAGCACTTTCTCTCAAGTACCTTCCTCTGATCTGCAACCAGAGGAGAGAGCCCAGCCTCTGGCATTTGCAAGTGCTCCTTGGTGTCCCTGGAGCACCATGTCCATTTCACAGCCAGCTTCCCTGTAGGATTCTCAGCAGCTGCTGCATCCCTTCCCATTCCTATGCTGGTCCTCCTTTTCCAGACAAAACACAGCTCTCCTTCTCTCCTCCTCCTTTCACCCCATCCTGCCTTTGCAGCCAGAGAAGTGGAGCTGCTACCACTCTTATCCCAAGGTCACCCTTTAAGCAAAGCTTGCCAAGCAGGAGGCTCCCTCAGGAATGCCTGGGCAGATCCCAGCACTCAGAAGATGTGCACCAGGATGAAGAGGCACGCTGAGCACCTCGTGTGTCTGTCCCACCTCTGATTTGTGCCCTAGGTGCACACCACAGAGGGCTCATGTCCTTGTGAGGGGGTTCTCTGCTCCCAGAGGCTGGAGTGAGAGCTGGGGCAGCTCCTGGATCCACCATGGACCAGACAGGATGCCCACCCTCAGAAAGCAGCTGGGGTCTGTCAAAAACAACAGCATCTGTGTTTCCCTCCTCCAGTTTGACCTGGTGTGTGAAAGGACGATCCTGAACGACATCTCCCAGTCCATCTACATGGCTGGGCTTCTCGTAGGAGCCAGCTTCTTTGGGGTGCTAAGTGACAGGTGAGGAAACACGGTCACCTTCCCAGAGTCACTGCCCAGCACTCAGGGACAGCCCAGCTGAGGGTGCAGACTGTGCTTGCACTGGTCATGAACTACTCCCTCCACAGACTCAATCCCCTCGCCTGAGCAAGGGCATCTGGAGCCACCTGACACATCTGTAGGTGTCTGATGGTTGAAAAGAGAGAGGGGCAGATACAGCCTTGTGGGGAGGTCTGTCAGGACTCACAAGTCCAGCCCCAGCTGCTGTCTCAGCCTTTGAGCAACAGCTCAAAAGTGGAGATGCTGCTTTTTGTGCACGTTATTTCTTGGGCTGTAAAGAGGAACTTTGTTCACAGGGATGTAAAATCTCCTCTGGTTTTCAAATCACTTTGTATTCCACCTGGGTTCTTCCCTATCCCCTTGGAGTTTCTCCAGATGCCAACTGTGTCTTCTCTCTTTTCCCATAGGATCGGCCGCCGGCCAGTCTTTCTGATCTGCATGCTCCTCCAGGGCGTGTTTGGTCTAGGAACTGCCTTTGTGCCCCATTTCTATGTCTACATCGCCTTCAGGTGTGTCGTGGGGGCTGCAGTGTCAGGAATTATGATTACTGTCGTGGCCGTGGGTGAGTAGGATGCCCTTGCCCTGAGGCAGCAGTTGTGGCCTCTCAAGACACAATAACAAAAAAGAGCTGGACATGTTTTGGAGAGGGTGACCCCGAAATTTTGTTCTTCTTTCCAGGTACAGAGTGGGTTGGAATCTCCTACCGGCCTAAGGCAGTGCTTATTGCTCACGCCGCTTTTGCCATCGGACAGATGATGGTGGCTGGATTGAGCTATGGAATCCGCAACTGGAGGCTGCTGGAGATTGCAGGATCCGCTCCTATGTTTGCCCTTTTCTTCTACATCTGGTAAGCAGGAGTTGGGCAGAGCTTCTGTAAGACACAACAGCAGTGTGAGGGGTGGAAGTGAGGAGGCAGCAGCAGC